CCCATTTACATGTTCCCCTGCCCTGCCCCGCCCCAATTGCCATCCCTAACTGCTGGAGTTTATGTGTAGCTTCTCAGTCATATCTTTGCTTCTACAATGTCTATTTGGATTTTAAGATGCATAGGTTTCTCCTGCATGCAGTTTAATCTTTTTCTTCATATGATATACCATCGCATTCTGTATTATTATGACAGGAAAAAATACACTCATTTTTTCGTTTTCTTTATAGACGAAACACGAGCCAAAGAACTATCGGGTATAGTCTCTCTACCTTTTCAAGGTAGGGATAAGGTCTGCGTATACACTACTCTTCCCGGACTTCACTTGTAGGCTGCTTCTTCTTCTTCTTGTTGTTGTAGACAACAACAGAAACCCAGTAAAATTCCACAAATGGGGTTTGGGGAGGTAGTGTGTACGCAGACCTTATCCCTTCCCCGAGTGAATAGAGAGGCTGTTTCCTGTAGACCCTCGACTCATTGTTTATAGACGAAACACCTAATTCCTATGTGGAGCTAGAGGGAAAATCTTATTAAAGGAAATGAACTAAGAAGGCAAGTGTTTTCCAGTGTAAACATAGATGTGATAGTAACAAACAAGATAAATAACACAGATATGATAGTAACAAACAAGATAGTAAAGCACGTAGGAGCAAGGCGTGAGGGCTACATCTGCACGCCGCCGCTAGCTCCTCATTGTCCATCATAAAATACACCATTTACAGATGAAAATTAAAGGTGTTTATTTTAGTTTTAACCTAATTTAAGAACCTTAAACAAAAAACGAAAGTGCAAAAACTCATATAACTAGGTCTAAAGATAATTTTTAGGGACAAGGCAAAGGGCATTTTTCTTGTGCATAGTAACTCCAGGCAAACCATCAGTGTCAATGTCTTCTTTCTTCATATCACAAGGCAACTCCCAATCAAATGCATAGACAAGGTTTGCAAGTATAAGCTCCACTGTTGCAACACCAAGTGCAATACCTGTACAGACGAATTCAAGATATAAACTTTATAAATTTAAGATTCTGAACTTTTAAAAATATAGGTTGAAAACAAGATATTTAATTAGTTATTCTATTAGTTTTAACATTTTCATGCATAAAACTCATCCTTTAAATAAACCGTCATTGAATACCTGGGCAACCTCTTCGGCCCGCTCCAAATGGAATAAACTCAAAATCTTGGCCCTTGTAGTCGATATTGCTATTCAAGAATCTCTCGGGTATAAACTCTTCTGGATTTTCCCAGTATTCAGGATCCCTCGCGATAGCCCAATAATTAACGTAAATAGTAGTCTTTGGTGGAATTTTATACCCTTCTAGTATAGAATTTTGAATTGTTTCTCTTGCCACAAGGGTTGGAACTGGAGGATATAATCTAAATGTCTCCTTTATCAGTGCTTTAAGATAGTGAAAATTTTGTATATCATCTTCATTCACCATTCCTTTATTTCCAACTGATTTTCTAATTTCTTCTTGGACTTTCTTCATGGATTTCGGGTTCATTATCAAAGCTGTCATTACCCAAATTAATGATGTCGCGACAGTGTCTGTTCCCGCAACAAATATATTCTACAAAAAATAAAATTTAGAGGAAAAAAATGAGTATATATATCACTTCATTAGAAATATAGATAAGCAGTTGTGTATGCATGCATGCACATGCAATCAAACCTCTATATAACAACCTTATTTGTTCCGATAGTTTTTGTCTTCTAGAGTGAAGTGCTATTATAGAGAACATATATTATAACCTAACATAAAATCGATTTGAAGAAAACTTGGCTTTTATAGTGAATGATTGTAATATAGAGATGTCTGACTGTAATTATGTATGAGTTTAATTTAGGTAAACCGACGTTTTACACCATCACGTTAAATTAATCAGCAACGCAATATAAGGTAATAAAGAATATAATAGTAGATTAATGATGAAAATATTCTTTATAAGACGTTTTACACCATCGCGTTAAATTAATCTACAACGTATAAGGTAATAAAGAATATAAGCAATTAAATAGTAGAATTAATGACGTAAAAATTCTTTATACTGTAAATGTATATATTTATACAAAAATGATTACTTACCATGAGAATTGCCTTTATATTGTCCAAAGTGATATTGATTGGAGTTGAGTTTTCTTTCTTTAACTGGAGCAAAAGATCAATAATATCTCCTTCCATTGATTTTGGCCTATTGGGATTGAGATGCTGCTCAATAAGTCCTTCATAAAACTCATCCAAATCTTTGAAATTTTTCTCAAGTCTATTTATTTTTCCAGAAATTTTATCAAACCAAAATAAAAAAGGAAAATAATCAGATAATAAAAATCCTGCCAATAATGCTTGTGTCTCTGTTAAAACTTCATCAAATTTCTTCCTTTCTTGTGCTTCTTCATCATATCTAATACCAAAAGCAACTCTACAAATAATTGTACTAGTTATTGAAACCAAAATACTACTCAAATTGATAATTTGTGAATTTTTAGCTTTTTTTGATATTTTTTTAATCATTCTTGAAACTTCATCTTCGCGAATCGGACTAAAAGATTGAACATTTTTGAGACTAAATAGATGAATAACACAAATTTTTCTCATTTCTCTCCAATAATCACTATAAGGTGCAAATGCAATATCATGACTATTATAAGATAATTTTTTTTGGCATATAATAGAAGGTCTACTACAAAA